GTAAAATAAAAACCAATATTTCTGTACTTCATAGAATACCTAGAGGCATACCCTGTTTAAAACATCCCCATTTAAATCATAAAGAATGAATAATTTGTCAATATACTAAATGTAATAAAAAAATAATATTAACTATTAGTCCCAAGGATGTGAAAAATGTCTATAAAGTATATACACTTATAAAATTATTGGCAGAAGCATGTTATAAAGTGCCACCTAAGGAAAAAAAAATTTCTACCCTTTAAAGTAAAAAGAACAAACAATAATGATAGAAGTACTTTGTCTGTAATACTTTGGGAGTGTGGGCTTTTTTTCCTTCAAAGCATCTTAAACTCAGAGGCCATATAAACCCTGAAGAATACGACTGCTACCGAGAATATTACAGAATACCTCACTACCATGCCACGGAGTTAGGCAAGGGAGGCAGAGATGTACTAGAGTGGGTGCGTAAGTATGTGACAAGCCTCTCAATAAACCTGAACTAAAACTAACACTCCGTAAAATAAAAAGGACAAAACCAAACCAGAAAATTGAGCCTTACTTATGTTTCCTCAAAGTCTCCACCAATAATTTAGAAGTGGGCATTTCTATATTGTTATGTACTCAGTATACCAATAACAAAAACAAACACAAAAATAACTAATAATCATCAACCCTTTAAATAACAATCTATATTTAACTATTCACCTTAGTTAATTACTCTGTTGTCAACTATTACAAAACCTCTTATTTTATTAATTTTAAGACTAACATTTAAACCATGTATTTTTAATAAAATTATTACCATTATTTAAAAAAAATAAAATGGAGGATTGTGATAGAAGGGTTAACTTTGTTCATAAAATCTTATGTGTATGAGGGAATAAGAAACTTCTGTTATAATTCAACAAAAGTTTCATAGACATCTTGCTAATCAAGCGTCAGTAAAAATAATTGCAGACATCTTGCTAAACAAACAAGTATCAGTATCAGTAAAATTTTACAGCTGATAAGAACTGCACCTTTCATCTCTGACAAATGCCAGATGACCACTTAACAACGAGCCGCAAACTCAAGCCACAAGCAGATTTACATTCAAAACCCGGGACCTGAAAATGTATAAAAGGAACATTTACTACATTTTCAGTGTGTGCCTTGGTGGGGCACCTGCCCCCAGGCCACCCAGGGCTGTTTTGCTTTATTATTGCTTGCTTAATAAATTTACCAATGTTTAATTGGAATTGAGTTGTCTAAATTCTTATACTAACTTATCATCATCATCATCATCATCATCATCATCATCATCATCATCATCACTAACTTATAACAATGGTCTCTATATAAAGTCGGGGGAAGAAGGAGGAAGGGGGGACATTCAGAGTGATCTACCCTACTTCACCTGCCTCTCTGCAGGGCAGTGTGGTGCAAAATAAGATCCAACGCAACCAGGATTTAGTAACAGTTGCTGTCTTCTTAAAAATACATAAACTACCATTAATGCTAATGGTAGCAGCAGTGAAATGGAGAGTTTATCACTGTTTATCAGCATGTGGAGCTTGATGTGATTTAGACTTTGTGGAGCTGTGGCTGCTTTTCTAGCCCTTCAGAAAGTGAAAGCAATGCATACTTTTTGCTTGCTGCCAGAGAGGAGCCCCTTGTCTTCATCCCTATTTTTTTTTTTTTTTTGGCTCCAGAAGTACTACAAATATCATTGATTAAAGCAAGCATGGTGCCTTCTTAGCACAACCTTGCATTTCTTATTCCTGCAGTCAAGAGTAATGACTGCACTCGCTACACACCTGAGCTCTGAAGGGGCCTTGGTGTTCTGAATGCCTACAGGCAAAGCAGGGAAGGCCCCAAAAGGGGCTGGTGTTTCACAAAGCAGCCTGTCTTCCTGCAGATGGGTGGTGGGGAACACCACAAGGAAATGCAGTAATGAAAATGTGAGAATCCTACGGGTTGGGGGTGACTATTGTTAACAAATTTTTCTATGTGAAATAATGTCCCCCTGATGTTCATTAGAAAGTATTTCAGTGGATACAAGACAAATTATTGAAGTACAGATTATATATCCTGGCGATTTGGAAGCAGTGCTCCTATCCTCTCTGCACCCAGATTATCCAGTTCTTGTTCTTCTATCTTCTTTGTGGATGTTTGAGTTCTGAGATCAAAAGCATGAACAGAAATGTGGGATCTTGGCTTGTTCATGTGTTGCTACTGTGTGTCTATTTAAAAGTTTTCTTTTTCCCCAGTTTTTCCAGGTAATGACAAGAAACTGTGTGGCAAACTCATGTTAGAATATATTTAATGGCATTTTACCAGCACTCAAACGGAGTCTGTACATGCCAGCATCCAGGTATTCTTACTTACCTGCCTCAGCAATGATGTTTGAGCTGCCAAGGCCCCACCTTGACAACCATCCGAGTCATTAGCACATGAAACGAATGTGAGAGCTGGAGCAACTGGCCATGCTGCTCAGTGCTGTTTTGCTGGGACAAGGGTCATGCTGATGGTGTGGGCTGTGAGAAGGGGACAGTGAGACAGTCCTGGGTGCTCAGGAACTTATAAACTGCCCAACACACTTAACATAGGAACGTCCTGTGTATTTCCTACATTGTTACCCTCTGAAGCAGGCAGCTCAGAGTGGTTGCAAGGCATGAGTGACCCCATTTAACCTATTTTGCTATTGTTGACAGACCGCAGCTGCCAACTGTTAAACTCCAGAGGAATTTGGAAAGTCAGACCACAGTGAACACTGCAGTTGTCAAATATTGTCCTGAATCATAAAAAATGAATACATTCCTTTTCTCAGCCAGCTACAGCCGAGACCGATCAAAGTCCTCCCCAAGTAATGAATGTGAATTGCCTCAGCTAACCCGTTCCCACAGTAATAAACTGGATCAACACTGGCACCCATGTTAGAAACCTACATTTCCAGAGCTATCCTACAAATCTTTTGTAGTTCCCGACTCCTGTGTCAAGCCCCGCACAATTGGTGTTTTCCCAGCACTGCTGTCAGCAGGAGCGTGGATAGGCGATAAAGCACCGGCCCTGGACAAAGCAGGGCTTGTTGCCTGCTTGCAGCACGACGCTGGGGTGGCGAGAGTGGGGGAAATGCCAGGCACGGCTCAGGCTCTTCCGTCCTCACCCCCAACGCGAGAGCAAGCTCAGGAGGTTATCTGGAATGAGCCCTCTTTTGCTGACGGATGTTTGTAGTGACCTTGCAGGTGCTGGTGGGCTCAGCCCTCACTCTGGGGCTGGGATACAGAGCACCAGATGGCCTTGGCAGCCGGCGTTTTCCTTGAGCCAACCTGCTGAGAGAGCGGGCAATGTGGACTGTGCAGTGCTGGGAACAGCCATGGCCCCACAGCAGGGCCTAAGATTGATCTGCAGCCAGAGCAATTTGTGCCTACAGGGTTCTCCTTCACCCCACAGGTCTGTGCTTTCCACCACTGGACTGGCCTATTGTCCAGTTTGGCCCACCAGCACTGCAGCAGGGAGAGCCCTTCCCTGCGGAACTGTGCTGCAGAGAGGAGGGAATTAACCACCATTAGCAGCAGTGAGGGGAGATGTCGTTCCTGAAGGCCAAAAAACCCCTCCATTCTCACCTTGAAAAACAAAGCCGCTTGTGTTACTATCTGGAGTTTGTGCAGCTGTCTGTGCAGACATGTGCCACTGCACAGAGAAGCCAGGCTTTTCCAGGGAAGAGCTGGACAAGGAGTTTGCTGGTTGAGATGGTATCCTTTCTTGCTTGCCACTGCCCATAGAAGGAGCCTGTGGGGATGAACTAAATTTAGCTGGGTTGGTGAATTAGTCCCCTCCCCAACGTGCCTAAAAGCTGCAGTTTATCTGAACAGCAGGGGCCTTACAGCCTTGGTGACAGGTCAGCTTTACCTCTCATGAGGATTGGGTTTGGCTTTGTGGTTTGAGTTTGGGGGTTTGTTATAATTTGGTTTAGTTTTTTTGGGTCTTTTTGAAAGGCAGCTGTGCTGTGGTGATATGCACTGTGAAGGAGAGGAAACAGAGGGCACAGCAGCACAGCATTACTGAAGACAGCCAGGAATTTCCAGGACAGGGACATGACTCTGGCTGTAGTTGCTGCAGACTCACCCACTAACCCTTTGCTTACCGGAAAGGGCCTGTGTGGGGTTACAAACCCTTCTGTTTTCAATCACTGGCTATTAGTTTTAAGGGAAAGATGATGCTACATCTTAGAAATCACTTATTTTTATACCATTAGGAACAGTCAGCATCTCATTTAGAGGTATTTAGAGAAATAACCCCTGCAGAACACCTCTGTGCTGTATGTGGGTGGAGGTTCTGCTGCTTAGGCACCATCAGCCCCTCGTCCATCGCACAAGGGGCATGTGCTCCCCTCTCCACATCAACTCCAGTGGCACCCCCCAGCAGCCACGCACAGCAGCAGCACAGGGGGGTACTGCCTTGGGCAGCCACAGCACTGTCCCAAATGTCTGCAGACACAAACAACTATGGCCATGGGGTCTACTCTGAATTGGATGAGGGATGTGCAATGGCAAGAACCACCAGCCTGCACCCAGGCCCAAGGGGGAGCCAGAACACGGACTGTGGCCATTCAAACCTTCCCCTCTTTGCTCTAGGATTCCCTGGTTTCCAGCAAGCATCAAGTGAACATTTTTTCACAGAGCTCAATTTGTCACTGTGGGGAACGAAGGGGCACCTGGCTGATGCAGTAACAGGAAACACTGACATGTCTGGTCTCATCATCCTGAAGCAGTGCTGGACCCAGAGGCAGCTCTTGGCTGCCTTGCACAAGGGAGAAGCCACCAGTGCCACCCTGGTCCGAGGCCTGGCTGTGCCCACCTGGACCTTGCTGGGTGCCAGCAGGCAGCTGCTCACAGCCAGACCAGTCTGACTCAACTTTGTAAATCCCTCCCATTATTCTCCAGGATAAACACAGTCAGGCACTGGGCACCTCTTCTGCTGCCCAGGGAATCCCAATCCAGTGCACAAAGGAAACAGCAGAAAGCGGACACTTCTGCTTTTGTGGATTCACCCCGTTTATTGAAGGCAAACAGAAGGCAAAAAACGGGGACACAGAAGAGTTGTAATCTGACTTTGGCTTCTGATTTTCCTGTGTGATTGACAGCATAGAGGAGAGAGGGGAAAAAAAAATCTGTGTATTAAAAAAAAAAAACAAACAGTGAAAGAGGGGATGAAAAAATGTTGGACAATTAGTGACATCTTGTGAACAGATGGAGGATTAATAATGACAAGGAAATCCAAAGCCATGCCGAGCATCCCTTATTGCAAACAAGATTCTGCAGGGGGCAGGGATAATGCTTTCCAAGGAAAAGCAGCAGAGGATAAACCATCCACACTGGCTTTGTGAGCAGCACGGTTTACTTTGGGAAGACAGTGACCACCTCGTAGCCCTCTGGGGGAATCACCCGCTCCCGCGCGTGCTTCTCACAGTAGATTTGGTCTTCCACGAAGAAGTGTCCTTTCTGCTTGAGATTGGTGCCACAGTCACTGCACACGTAGCACTCGGGGTGACGCTGCTTGTCCCGGATCTTCACAAACATCCCTCTGGGGAAGGAACCAGCACCCCTCAGTGCCATGTGCCCTCCATCAATCTCCCTCCTCCTCAGCCACCTCCCACCCAGTCCAGACCCACATCAGCCCTGAAGGTGGATCATTTTCTCCTGCTCCTGAGTCAAAGTATAGGCTCAACCTCTGGTCAGGTAGATGTTAACAGCACTTTCAGAAGCCCAACATGTGCTGGCATGACAGCCCTCATCTAGAAGGTGTTTCCCAGCACTGCCCTGCCTAAGTTTCACCGGGACAATCCTATCACCTGTGGTGACAAGAATTACTCTGTTGGCATCTTTAGCTGACGGCTAAAGCATTCAAATGCTCAGGATCAAATGGCAGACAGCAGCTTGACCAGCTAGGGGGGCAAAATCCAGGTCCAAAATGACCGGATGGAAAAATCCAGAAATGACTGCCTGCCAACAGCTGAGGGGGATGAAGGCTGCTCAGCCAGCCACTGCCCTTTTGCTAGTGACTGGCGCACCAGGTATGTGTAGGAGAAGCACAGATCCTGGTTCTGATCTCAGACACTGCTGCTCAGGAGCTGCAGTGAACGGATCCAGCCAGATGTGGGCCAGCCCTTACTGGAAAACTTCATAGCTTAACCCAGCAGATGACGAGGAGAACTACACAGCAACTCATTAACTACCACCAGCCACCACACAACAATTTTCCAGTATTGTTTTGTTCCAGCAGCTATCTATATTTTCCATAATTCATTAGTTTTGAGTGCTATTTATAGCTCTGTGCTTTGTCTCCAGACCTACCCAGCTGGTAGAATAATTATAGGGTTTGTCTCTGATTCATATTTTACAGAGTATGGATTGCCTGCAATGAGTCTGATGGTCCAGGTGCTCCAGGCATGCCAGGACCAGGCAACCACAGTGCAGTGGGTCTCAGCAACAATCTGAGTTATTGTTCAGTTTCTCAACCACATATTCTTCCCTGCAACCCCTGAAATAGTTGACTACAGCAGTCAAGTACTGGTAGCCCACCTGCATTGTCATGGAAGAATTCCAGTTTCTCCAGTGCTGCCCACCACAAGCTATCAGAGACATGGGCTGGGTCCCTCATGCTGTCACACACAGTACAACAGCTCTGTATCAAACCCAAACCCTTGCTGTGCTGGAAGTTGGATTTTACCCACATACAGACAACAAAAATTATGTCTGTGCAGACAAACTGGAGGTGTGTGCTCCTACAGGAGACCAGGGAGCAGAACACAGCTCTCCTGGTCCCCATTGCCTCTGACCAGCAAGGCAAGTCATCCTACCACGTCTCAGAGTGCCAAGACATGAAATGCATTATATACACAGGCCCTGAATGGAAAGGCCATTTTCTTTCCAGGTGCTGTAAACAGATTTCAGGTAAGAAGCAAAACACTGCAGCAACAACTGCTTCGAAGTTTGTCTCACAGGGACTTGCTATGGTTTCCATTGATGTGGATCCGTAGATGGAAACCCAACTCCTGCCTCACTCCAGGGGACTGCCATGTTAGCATTATTAAAGCTGGTGAGAATAACTGTGCCCTGAGCCAGCTCCTGGGTGCACTGGATGTGGGTAAGTGAAGTGGTTTGGGTGCGGTACCTCAGCCTCTCGCACAGGCATGGGATGCTCAGCCTGCACCCCCAGGGACATGCTTACTTACACAATGCCAGATCCACACTTCTCACACATGGGCAGCTTCTGGGCATTCCCAATCGATGAGGCCACCTTTGTGGTGGGGGCTTTGACACTCCTGAATCCAGATGGTTTGATAGGGTCTCCTGGAGGTGGAAGAAAAGTCCTTCAGAGCATGTGCACTGTGTGGCTCGAGGCTATTCCACCCAGGCCAATGCTGTGCTGGGGGGGATGATGTTCTTTAATCCCAGCTCTGAGGCAGGGATTCATGCATGGGAAGTGGGCAGGGATTTAGGGATGTGTGTGGAGGAGGGAGAGAAGGGACACAGCTGAACCTGGCCCTGGAAATTTGAGGGCCTGAGATTGTGGGTAGTCAGATGAGAGTTTCATCTTAAATACCCATCAGACTTTAGCTGATGTGTTTCACATGCACAGATGCACAAAGCAAAGCAAAGCCGAAGCCTCAGCCCCAGCCTTGGCAGCACTCAAATCTGCCTGAGATGTCCTGATCACACATGCAGGATCAAGCTTATTTCCAGATTTGGGCTCAGAAAGAGATGAGTGTCCTGGCAAGCTAGTGAGGGCTGTCACAGTCCTTTTCCAGTCCGCTGTCCGCTATACAGTGGAGCTGGCTGCCCCAAGACTCCTGCAAGATTTGGTTAACAAACTCCTTGTTCTTGAAGAGCCCTGGGACACTGGGGATGACCTTGTGCACACCTGCTGCTGTGTAACATGCTCCAGGGATCTCCCTAGTGCAACTTCCCTGGCGTAGGGATGATCTGCAGGGCCTTAGGAGGAGACATGTGCTGACCTGGATGCCTAAAACAGCAGTGGATCCTAGCTGGAGGATACGAGGCAAGCCTTTAAATCTGCAGGGAAAAAGGAGCCTCTTATAAAATGACACCAGTGATGGTGTATATCTTATCTATATGGCTTTTGCAAGGGGTTCAACATAAGAGAAGGAGTGTTGCTGAGACTTCCATGATATTTCACCAACACACCTCAGACTGGGAGGAACACTGATAGAAACCCTTCTGACTGGTCTCAAACCAAAAGCACACTTACAATGGGTGTTCCTGGTGCAAGGGGCAGAAAAACCCTCCAAAGGCACATCCCGGTGACCAACAAGGTCAGGGACACGTCACAGCCCAGAGCAGTATCACTGATAGAAGAGCTGAAGGAAAAAGGGCGGAACTGCCTACCACACCTCCCTGTCACCACTGCTCATCCATGAGGCAGGTAATACTGCATTGGTTTGCCTTTGGGGCAGCCTTCAGCTCAGAGGTTTACACCCAGTGCAGAGATGATGGTCAGAGGAGCAAGTTCCTTACACTCCAAACACAGCAGGAAGCACCTGGCCTCCAACAGAGTTGCCTCAAGTGACCCTCACTGGGAAGGACGCAGCAGCAACCACATTTTCAGACTCTTCCCTATCACCTCTGCCCCCTCCCTCTGCCTCAACCAGCACTTTGCTCATATCAGCAACACTGACAACATGTTTTTAAATCTCTCTAAAGGAATCAGCTTAATCAAATACCCACAGGAAACATGACAGGTTCCACCCTGTGAAACACTCTCCACTTGGGACTACAGGGTGAAGTCTAACCACAGACCAGTTGTGGTGTTTCCAAACACCCGTGCCCATGCTCAGCCCCTGGGGCCAGGCTCTCAGCTGGTATAAGTCAGGCAGGTTACAGTCAGCGATGCCCCAGGGGACTTGTCCCAGCTGCTCACAGCTGCTGTTCACAAGCCATTGCCTGGAGACAGGCCGGGAGAAGCCGCCATCCATGTGCCATTTATCCATTGATCGAGGGACATGCTCTGACTCAGCAGCAGTGTCTGAGGCTGGCCCAGCAGCACGGCAGGCTGGGGCACTGTCTCCTCGGGGACAGACATTCCTTTGGGGCTGCGTAACCTCCCAGCCCAGCTCCCCAGGGGTGATTATCAGCTCACAGTGGAGTAATACCAAAGCCTATCCTGGCCTGTGATCCGGCAGGCAAACATTGTGCCAGAGAATCCCAGTAATGCTGCAAATCTTCAAAGAAAGATAAAACAGAGAGACTTTTGCTTCTTATCTTCTTCAGCACTACTAAGTACAGGGGTGGACCTTGCCTTTGTGAGAAGTCCGGGCTACTCCAGTCCCTTCCATGCAGGAGCTGAACCCTGAGGGCAAGCTGCAAACACTCAATATTTAAAAGATGCTTTCAAGTAAATATTTTAACAGCATATTAAAGACTCCAAGATTCTGGTTTCTTTCTTCCTATTGTTTCCTTATGTCCTTCATTTTGCTGTTTCCCTACAGATCCCTCAGACCTACTAGCACTCGGCTGATCTGTTTCTCCTTGTGATGAATATCTCAGAACTAGGCTTTTGTTGGATTAAACTGAATGTACCGCTGCCAGGCTAATAACACAAAAGACACAGTCTCAAGTGGCCTAAGGAAAAATAAAGGTCATTCTTGGAATTCTTTTCTTATTCATTTGTTTATTTTATTTTATTTAAGGGGAGAAGAGAGTGCAATCTGGCCCCCAACAACGTTAATTGGCTTTTTTATCTTAAACTCTATAGCCCTGAACTGCGCAAGTCCAGATGTCAGATGAAAAATGCCAAGCACAGAGAATTTTCAGAGGTTAAAAGCTATGAACTGCTCATAACCCAACTTCCATATTTTTACCGTCAGCTGCAGAAGTGGATCTTTTTTCTTGTGTAGGGGATTTGAGTTCAGAAGCATTAGGACTCACTGAAGAGCACTAACTTGTTTTACCATCCAAAGTCTTGAATGTAAGATGGTCTTTAATCATTGAATATCTTAAAGGTGGCCAAACTTTAGAAAGTATAAAAGAGTTTCTGCAACTTTTAAAATTCCTTCCTGATAAAAGTTGCAGAGGTTTATTTCTTGAGCACTGATATGGACCCATAGACACTGAAATTAATCAATGAGAGAATATTAAGGAGTCAAATTAGTGACAGGGTCTGTAGGTTTCTGTAGAAATAACCTACACTTGCTATCTTGAACAATCAACTGCTAAGAAAGGAAAATAAAGTTTTTAAATACTGTACAGAGCCCAAGGAATGCTAGAAGGGAAGAGCACACTTAGATCAAGTGCGCTGTAAGAACTCACCTTTCTCTTCTGACTCCAAGATCTCTTGCAACACAAGGAATGAAGCAGACTGTCTGGGTGGCTCATTTGACTCTTGATTCTCCTGAAGCATCTTGTAAACCTCAGATTCTCTGCCTATGGCACTGCTGCCTGGGGGCTGATTATGCTGATCTAAACTGAGGAAGGAACAGAGGATACTCTTGTTAAACAGATGAAAACTAAAGCCAATCCCCCTAGCAAAGTTTTCACAATGCATCATATGACTGACGAATGAACGTGCAAAACAAATGCACCAGAGGAGGCCATAAATGCAGAGGTGCTGGATGTGCTCACACAAGTCAGCTGCAGCCCGGGTGGGGTCACACTGGGGTGTCTGCGTTCCCTACTGTGAACACCTTGAGGACTGCCCCCAGCCAGTCCTCAAGTGTTCTCCCTGCTTCACAGCTACATACTCCTGGAAACTAAAGCTTTCAGCCCAGGAAATCACTGCTCTGTTAACAGGAAAATAAAGAACTCATGTGCTGGGATAGGAATCCCACATGGAAGCTGCATGCATATTCCTTGCATGCATAAACTACCTTACACTGCTACCATACACTGGTGTGAATCTCAAACTAAGTAAAGTTTATTCCATTAAAAAGAAACCTTTGCCACTACCCTATGAATTAATTCTAAATGCCACCGAAGTAAAAGCTAACTAGAAGATTCTCTGATTAGCAATAATTTTTAAAGTGAGTGTTATTATTTCCATTTTATAGATGGAAGCTCTGAGCCACAACCCATTTATTGCATTTAATTAAGGTTAAAGAGCAGATCAAGGGCAGAGGAGATTTCTGCCTGCTAAGGCTAAGCCCTCCTTTCAGCTGTGCCCGAGGTACTGCTGTCACCCCTCATGTCATGAGGGACTTGCCCAATCAGCCTAGAGCCTGAGGTGCTTCAGGGGAGGCCTTTCACAGTGCAGAATGGCAGAAAGGGCAGTCATTGTGCCTGGAAGGGTCTTCAGGAAAAAAAAAAAGAGGCTGGAGGCAGTATCTAGGATGTTCTCCACATCCAGTAGGTACATGATAAACTACAGGCTTAAACTGCAGGAGGATATTTAGCATATCCCTTGGGAAAAGTTTTCCAACAGACAGACACTGAAATACCAGAGCAGACTGTCATGGACAGGTGAGCAACCTCTGTACTATGGGATTTAAAAATAGTCTAGACAATATCCACTGGGAATTATTTAAATCAATGGTTTAAATTGCTAAATGCTGTTCTAGAGATGAAGAACACAGGAAGTTCCTGCCTGTCTTATGTTCTGTATCTGCAGTAAAACATATACAATAAAATGAGATATCTGACAAGTCTCCTCTGATGGTTCAATTCTATAATGCAGTCTTAAAAATCTAAATGGACTATTCGGTTTCACCACTCCTGCACTCTGTGATTGCCTGAAAAGTACATAAACATCCTGAAGTTCAGACTAAATTGCAGAGGGAAATCCTTTTCTTGAGGAGGCAACTGCATACTTTCCATGCCAGTGTGCAATTGAGTCATCCGGGAGTTACTCTACATAATAAACTCTTCAAGCATCAGAGGTAAAATCATCAAATGTGTTATAAAATGCTATTTCCATAAAAAGAATTTCATAAAATGTTTCCATATTTAGTGATTTTCAGAGGAGCAGGAAGAACAGACATGTAAGCAACTGAAACTCTGAATCCTGAATCTCAGTTACTGAAGCCTCTCATCCAAAATAAAATAATGATGTGCCTTCTGTTAGACTGAGAATGTCCCATGCTCCACATTACATTCAGCTTATGTAAACTCATATACTCCCACCACCCAATCCACCCATAAAAACATTACGCAAGAAACCCTTCATTGAAGTTTGCATACTAAGAATGTTTCAACAACATGCATCCAAAGAGCAAAGGCTAAATCATCTTAAAGAGCACTAGAGCCAAACAAAGCCATCACATTTCAACCATGCATTGGTGTAGTAGAAAACATACAAATCAGCTCTCCCAGAGATGCACCCTATACATACACTTACATATACAAGACTTCCAAAAGGCTATAAAAAACTCCAAATCCTAGAATTTGTACCAGCAGAGTAAAATACCTCCAACTGCTAGGGTAGAAAAAACTTCACCCAAAAGCACATGTATCTTTTGAAAGGGCAAGGCCACAGACATAGAAAGTATACTTGCAGATTAATGAGTCTCCTTATGCCAGCTGATTTATGGCACCTCCTCTTACACAGGTACTTTTTTGCAGCAATCACCAGCAACTGGTGTCCTTTTCCATGCACACAAGTTCCCTGATGCAGAAACTTTGTAGGGACAACTCCAACAACCTTTACCGCATTTCAGAACTCATACAACCATTACTGGATCTCATTGTTGCTACCATGGGCAACTTGCAATGCTGACTGACTAACATTTGATGACTGAGCCTTGAATATTGGCAAGAAGATGGGAACAAAACCCCAAAAAAAGAAAGAAAAGTACAGCTTATTTTTTACTAATGATATTTTACTATTTTATGCCAGCACATTTTGCAAAGTTCACAAGAATCTCAAAGCTACAGGAAGGCCCAGTGCTCGGAGCACTCGCTTTTGGAATGAAACAATTACCGAGGTCTGGGGCCCTTCTGTTATCATTATAAGCCATCCAGGCCAGCACAGCCAGCCAGCAGTGTGACCACTTCTGGCATGCACACAACTGACTATAGGCCAGAGCAGTGACTTACTTACATCAAGTAACTGCACTGAGTGACAAGGAAGGAGTAAATCCTCAGACTCCCACTATCTCTAGGCTGCTGGCACGCAGCAAAGCTTGGCTATGTGGGTCCATGGATGAGAACAGCAGTTTTTCTGCTCTGAACTACATAGTGGTCAACCCAGAAGGGGACTGGGAGCAGCCAAGGAGACGAGATCTGACTGCGTCCTTTCATTCTGTCCCATAAACGCCACGGGACTGAACACCTCCCTAGATGACGTCACACAGCTGCAAACTGCTTGGTCTCACAGTGGGGTAACTCTGCTGAAGGTTAACAATTCAGCCTTGACTGGAGACCTCCTGTGAGATAGCTAAACGTGCCTTCTGCTTCACCTATCTTGATACTGAAGTCGTCCCTGTAGAACCCTGTAGCCTGTCACTCAGAGGCATGGGCCAGGGGGTTCCCAACTTCCACAAAGCAAACATCAAAGAGCACCCAGGCCTTGTGATGCTGAGGCTCTCTGCAGGTCCTGTAAACCTCAGAGCATGTTGAGCATCCTTCACTCCTACGGGCAAGGAGATAGCCTGTGCTGCAACAACCTCTGCAGACAAGCAAGCAAGGGTGGGAACACGGACTGGGCCCTCCACTTGCCTGGTGCTCTTTCAAACCCATGAGTGTTATCAGCCAAAGATGGAGACCACAGGTACCTGCTTCAGCCTGAAATGAAACATGCCCAGCACAAACTCCATGGTCAGTGAAACAAAAGAACAAAGTCATGTGGCAGCACCTGCCAGTCACAAACAACAACGGTCATTTTAATTGCAGGAGGAACACTAGCTTTCAGGATAAAGCACTCTCCTACTCTCATCAAACCCATCTGCTGCAGATGGCTCCTCCAGGAAAGACACCAGCCATCAGACCCCGCTGTGAGGGTGTGCAGGGGCAATGGACACACTGACAGGCTAAAGCCATGTTTTGGTGCTTCCCACAGCATTGGGCACAGACAAAACGCAAACAAAGCTCCTGTGAAGAGTCATGCACTAATGTCGAAAGGGTGAAATGTAAATGCTGTTTTCTTGTGACTGGCCAATGCCATGAGCCACAGACACGGACGAGAGACTCGTGGACACCAAAATGTGGATGAGCAGATGTGCTGATCTGGCTGCAGAGGCAGTGGACAGGTTACCTGGGGAAATCAGGGCTAACAGAAGAGATTTGCCCCTGTAGAGTGTCCATGATGTTGCTCTGCGAATAGAGCTGCAGGGGAGAATTGAACTGCACGTGCAGCACTTTGAGTCCTGGCACCTCCACTTCCACGGGGCTGTTGGGACAGACCTGGGCCGCGTGCTTCAGCTGCTCAGGCCCCACTCGGACCTGGCTGGGGACGGAGGAGGTGCTGTGCCTCCGCTGTGGTGACCTGGAGCTCTGTGCCTGCAGAGGGTTATAGACGGAGGCGACGGGAGCCTGCATCGCACCCGCTGGCAAGGGGCGGCTACGGCCCCACGTGTTCGCGTGGGCAGTGACAGTTGCGTTTGTTTGGGGGTTCATTTGGAGATTACATTGTGGAATTGAGGGAAAAACGCGCAGGAGGAAGAAAGGAAAGAAAAAAGAAATTAATGAAGGATAAAACCAAATAGTCCAAGCCATCAAGCGGCTGCAGAATACTGTCTGAAGGACACCCACTGAATATATGACTTTAAAGGCTTCTAGCTAATGCTGCAGTTCTGGTCTCGCACTCCAGGTGTGTCCACACAAAAACTAAAATGCAAGCACTCTACTGATGAGCAAATGCAGGGGTTGTAAGCATGAACACGTGGCAGCAGGGGTTTCACTATGCACTCGCTCCCTGCGCACACATTCACGGTCCCACTGTCCAGACAAGGAATGCCACCTTCATTGCTGCTCTTCCCAAAGTTGCCTGGGTGTCCTTCTGACAGGCAACCTCACCTCCCATCCCAAAACAGATGTGCTCAGCAGCAGGGCTTCTCCCTTCCTTCCCTTCCTGCCTGCTTTGTGACACCAAATCTGGTGGAGATGTTTACCTTTTTTTCTGTATGTACCCCAACCCTGCATTTACATCACATGCCCTTTAAGGACAAAGCATGGCCTGGGTCCCCAATCATGTCACCATGTGCAGTGGCAGCATCAAGCTGCCAGGTTCAGATAGGCTGTGTATCTGCAGAGTATAGGATGGGGATGCAGATAAATGTCAGGTAAACCCAGAGCAAGGACAGCCATGTATCAAATAACTCAGAAAAACAGATGGGCAGGAATTTAATGGCAGCTGGAAGGCTGTGTGAAGGGAGAACCTCCTGTGCTTGTGCAGTGGGGAGACTACAGCAGGGTTTTAGTGGCAGGCTGAGGACCCTGGCTCCCACTGAAAACTGGCAGCAATTCATTTGCTTTTGGTGACACTGTAAACAAAAGCATATTAGCATCCAAGGCTTCATCCACAGTTCCCCCAGCATTCCTTTGCAACTTTCTGTGTTTCAGCAAGGAAAAGATTAAGGAGATGCCATGTGCCCCACATGCAGCAGGGCTGGCAATGGACCTTCCTGTTAGAAGGAGTACAGGGAGCCACAGCACCAGAAGGAACCCACTTATCTGCTGATCCCTGAAAGAAAAAGGGATCAGCCACAAGTTTCCAGCCAAATCTACCTGGCTTCCAGGAAAGTGCTCTGACCTGGAGGGGACTCCACACTAGACCGGAGGTATTATTTGACTGCCAGGTGGTCCCATCAGATTAACGCAAAGTCAGACTTTGCTTGTCCTGCTCTTGCCCATGCTCAGCCCCTGAATGAGGTTGCTGAGTCTACCAGAAGCAAATGAGAAACAATCTGTCACCTTGTCTGCTGACTGCAGCACTGTAACTCTGCCTAGAAGGGACTATGTTGCAGACAGGGCTGCCAATGCAAGGGGCCAGCTTCAGTCCAGGGGCAAGTTTTCAGGCTTGTGTTAAACCACAATCTCAGATCTTTGTACCCTGCAAAAGCAGAGGCTGAAGTTACTTTTGTCTCTCCATTCACAAGTCAGAAATTTAGCTGAGTATTACTGAAAGCACTGGTATTGCAGCTTTTATCGTAAAAGTGGCCAAAGTCTTCCAAGCAGTTTGACATTGTAATGCAGAGAATTAGGGCAGTTAAGTAGCCTGACCAACACAGCCAGAAAGATTTCAGACAGCTCCTGGTTCATTACCTCCAACGAAAAAAGGGAAACTTTGAACTTCTAGGATGTCTTCAGTGAGGCTCAGATGCAAACACAAAAATCAACAGGCCGTTTTAAGGTCGGGACCCTTTTCAATCTCACACATAAAATCACTCACACAGGTATGAATGTTTCAGCTACTTTTAAAGTGGAAAGCAAAGTTTGCCAATAAAACACAGAAATACCCTAACTGTGCCAGAGCCTGTTTATGAATCCCAGGCTAGCCAGGAACAGGGGACGGGTGTGCTTCCTGCGCTAGTTGGTACCTTTCCTGCCCAGTACTGCAGCAAAGCCGGCACAAAACACTAACTTTACAAAGTGCTCATAACAAGCTATCAGGCACCTGTTCAGACCAGCAGGTTGGTATGTCATGCTGAACGCACGCGGAAACTGCGTCGGTCTCTGCTAAACAAAGAAACACAACAGCATTAATTTCATTTCTGCATCTCATCAAACGATCCCCACTCCTCCAAGCCGTGCCCCTGGGAACAACATCCATGCTTGTGCCTCTGCTACTTCCCTTGATCTGAAAGAGAACTTTTCCGGGTTAACAAATTGGTGCTGTCACAGCAAACTCGTGTCTCCTGAAGCCTTTCCCCTGGAGGCCCAGAGAAGGATGGGAGGCGAAGAAGGTACTTACGGCTTGGTAGGCTCCGGGGCCCCAGGTGATGTTTTTGACTCCACTGCACTGTTGAAGGTCTGGATGTTCTCTGAGGAGTAGAGGCCTGCTGGGCTGTTGTACTGAGCAGTGATCACTCTGGGGGCAGAAGCTGTGGCAGCAGTGAAGGGCACTGCGCTCCGATTGTGTGCACTTCCTATGTGCCTTATTTCCTGCATGCAAAGGAGCAGAGGCAAAAATCAGAGGTGCTCAGGCATGCAGGTGGATGTGAGAGGGCAGCCTGGAGCAAGCAGCAACTGCACTGGTGGCCTTTGCGTGTGGTGTCAGCTGAGGAACAGGTGACCACAACCACCAAAGCAGGTGAGCATCCTCCACACGTCATGAGGGCCCATCCTGGAGGGTTTCATGACCACCTTCACAACATTTCAGAGTTGACAAACTGGGAACATAAAAGCTGAGAAACACTGCCAGAGCTATTAGTTCAAGGTGCCACACACCTAGGAACTCCTCCAAGCCTATGATAAGCCACAAGACCTACCTTCTCATGCAAGACTATAGATTTTAAGCATTTCGTGCAATTCCTGAGAGGAGGGCTGATTTCTATGGAAAAGTGAAGATGAGGGGCAGAAAGAGGAGCACTGCTCAATGACATTTGAAAATTTGGCTTCTCTTAGATAAGGGCAACCCAAAAAGAAGGGATTTGCCATTACTACAAGTGCTCTGGAGCATCCCTGCTCCTTCAGCTAAGTCTGGGGTTCACAGCTCTCTGATGAGCAACTTTGGAATTTCTGGACATTAAATTGCCAAAATAAAGGTGGGAAAATGACCATTGTTAATACAAAAGACTGTCCACAGGCAGTGACAGCTAACTGTCAGCAACTTCTTCAGCATCAGAAGTATAAGATATCACCCAGATGTTCTGGGTTTGCTGCAAACTGGAGGTTCTCAGCAGTATTAGTGTATACTTAAAAATATGGCTATGACTTAATAAGGAGCAAATCCATGTTAAATAAGACACAAGGTAAGACTCTTAATCACAGACACTGCTAACAAAAATGGGGATATTTCTAAGCCCCAACACCAGTTCAGCAGGCTGGGAATTGGCAGACTTAGGGTAGAGATAACATCCAGGGCTTACTTCTCCCCAGAGAAGATACTTGACCAAAGCAAGCAGAAAGTACAAGGGGGCCTTACTAGAGCGGGCATAAGAAAGGACTAACAGTCACAGAGGTGGCTGAGATATGGAGGGCTAAAAGATGGCACCAAAACATGCTTTTTGAAATGTTTCAGCCAGCTGTAAAGATCTGGCATGGCTTCAACACAGGGCTAATGTCCAATGGCATAGGATGAAACAGGGCACTTCTTAGTGTGCTGGGCCCATGGTTCCCAGCTCTAATTAACACAGCCAGTTCCCACTCCCACTCTATACAGGCACTGACTTTTACAGCAATGACGTGAGCCTTCACCACCCTATGAACATCTCACAGCGCTTGTTTGATAGAGATACAGTTATAGGATAAACAGTTTCCAGAAAAAAGTATGACTAAATCCACCTACAGATTTTTCTTTAAATCACTTTTATGTCCCCAGACTTCCTTAGGCAGCTGGATAGCCTTCCCAGACTGACAGATGGGAGTCATCTAATTTCATGGCATTCAAATGCTATTTATGGCATCAAGCAATGCACAGGATCCCTCAGAGAAGAGCAGCATGGATCCAAACACACTCATTAGTTACAAGTCATTTGAAATGCAGCTCAAGTTGTTCAGGTGTGGGGTGACAGGGCTGCTCTCCCATGGCTTTCTGGCCAATGTGTATGGATGTCAGCCATGAAGCTTTCCCACACACCAAAGGAAAAAAGACTCTGGAGTAATTAGCTAATCTCCCTTTGTTTCAATTGCATTCAAACCACAGAACAGTACTTATGAAAACAGTCTTTTCCCATGGCAAAAGTGTAGATTTCAGCAAAAGAAAAAAAAGTTACTTAAGCCTGTATATCACACCATGGGGAAAAATTATCTGATATCAGCATTAAATATACATGCTAGCCCACCATTTGGAGGCCACGAATGGGAGAGGGTTACAGACGTGCACATAAATAGTCGCTTTAATGAAAGACTGAGACAGTACATTTAGGCTAAGGGGGCTAAACTCTTAGGTCAAATAGGCTCAAAGTTGAAAACACGTCACGAAATATATTGCAGAAACATTTAAGTAATATCCAAGAATTAGAAAAGGTAATTTACAGTATTTTTTTTTTTTTAATTCTGGTTTCCTAAGTAAAGCATCTCAATTACATACCCCACATGCACATGGGCACATTTCCACATCCACCTTTGTCAGCCAAGCCCAAATCAGTTTGATAGTGATGAAGGCCTCAAGGATCCTTAACTTCCTACAAGTGTTCAGAAAATAAGGCAGCTAGACAGAGAAGAGAGACTGACACCACATTACAACCTTGACTCCAAGAACTGCAACATGCACTCAGGCTCAGAATCCACACAGGAGCTCCTGGCCTACTTTTGGCCACAAGGTAGGTTTTCTGCTGTGTAGTAACATCTAAGACCACAAATGAAGCTTTCGAAAGTATCAGGACATCTGTAGTAGCTCTCGGGTGGACAAAGGTCATTGACCATAAGGGAGTTTATAATGGTTAAACAGAGAAATTGGTGCAAAAGGAGGTGTCTGAAGATTAGAATAGAAAAATCCCATCTGGAGAACTGTGCTGAAGGTGTATAACCCAGGAGTCTGTAGACAAGTATTACAAGAGCAGTAACATAATAAAGGTCATTTGGATAATCCAAATTCTCCAGCACTTCCTGTCACGCCACGCTGCTCTTTCTGCTTGAGCTGTGGAAGGAATTTGCAAAGAACAAGTGCTTTCATGATCCCAAGATCAAAAGATAATATGTTTTCACTGTCAAATATATTTACCCCGGGATTTTCCAGAACTGCCATCCAGGCCCTGTGCTGTGCAGCAGTTTTGTTAAAGCCCCAGCTTCTGGAATCATGTGCTTATGTGAGAGTCTCTGACTTAGTATTGGAAAAAAAGTCAGATATGTGACATTCCCAAAAACCTGTCCACCAGTAGGCAAGTGAAAAATGTTAGTACAAAAATGCTGCTATACTCTGTGTATGTGTGGGGACTGGTTTATGCAGTTGAGG